AGCAACCTTAAGTCACATTCGTCTGTGGTAGTGTTACCTATTACCACATGGATGTCTGATAAAATATGCTTGGGACTATTTAGTTGGATATTACACCTCCTATTACAGTTTTAATTAAATTCTAACTTGAAACATGTTAATCTGGACCACTGAATATGTCAACCAAAATTTAATATTCTTGCTTGTATCTGCTAATATTTTTGAACTCATATCTTGATTTTTAAATATAGGTTCTATCTATTTAAGTACTATAATTAGTCATGATTTGAATTATTGGGTACTTAAACGTTTAAATTGTGCTTACGCTTTGCAATCTCTATTATAATTTATGTACTTATACCTATATAGTATATAGTATGTATGTATTCATAACATAAACATTAAACACCTTTAGCTAGCAAAAGTAATTGACTAACTATGTAATAATTTTTGTTTGTATAAATATTGAATTTTGTTTGAATATATAATTAAAAGTTGTATAATTTCTAAAAAAAAAAATATATAAGAATAAAAGTTTATTATATCTGTCAGTTCATTATTTCAGTTACTGTCTGTATTTACTTCATACTATTTGTTGCCTGTAGGTAATGTTGTCTAAGTTGTTTAACCAGTTAGGCAGTAGGTATTGTTACTATAATAACGCTTCATAAAATAAAAGAATTTAAAAAGTAAAAGTAAGATTTGCAGTGTTCTTAAGTTGATTTTGTTGTACTACATTGTATAAACTCTAAATTCCAGAATAAATAACTAATGAGAAACCTTGTGTTTAATTTTTAAAATTTCATATAGTCTTAACAACAAAATAATTTACTAACGAATTTTCGTGATTTTGTTCAATTTCGTCAAACTTTAAATATTAACTAAGTTTAAACAAAAACTGTATTTTCGTTTTTCCCGCATATTTTTAGTTCCTAAAAAGTTAGTTTCTAAAAGGTTCCTATAACCTACAGGATATTTTTTACTATTTTTAAATCTAAGTAGAAATCTGACCGGATTAAATTTACTACCAGAATCTACCATCAAAGTCAAAGATGTAATACATTTTGTTCTGCTTCAATAAATGATGAGTACCCTAAGCCTCCCTTCTGAATAAATATTCTAATAGCCTCCCTCTTAAATTCAACGTTCAATTTCTTTCAAATTAATATTGATTAGAGGTAGCTATGTCGAGTTGTAAAACTTAGTTAATAGTTATAAAACTTGTGATTAATAATTCATAAAACGTTTCAAAACATAACTGAGAACTCGGTTCGAAATCGTTTCAACTTTCTAAAAATCCTCAATATTGAATAACTGTAGTTTTCAAAAAAAAATATTGATAGTAAAGACATGATTGGAAAACTGTCTGAAATTAATAGAACAAAAATTTGTTTATGATATTTTTAATACTAAAACAAAAAAATTAAAATATAATACAATTTGTGAATAAATAGATCATCTTTAATTATATACCTCTTACCTAACTATAAATATGTATTTGTAACTATTGAGTGAAAAAATATATGATTTTATCTGTTATGACACAATAAAAAAAGGCGGGCAAGTGGGCAGTACATTTAAGATTCGTGTGGGTCACTGTAATTGATGTGTTAAATTTGAACTCAATGATATAAAATCATTGTATACAAAAAATGATTCTGAATGAAGAATGTCTGTCAGACTTGATAGTCTATATTACTAAGTTTATTTAATGATATTATTACTACCTATTAAAGTAATTTATTTTAGTGTTAGTAATACAGTAATTTAAATTGATTTTTGCCGAAAATATAGCATTAGAAAAAGATATTTTGTGTATAAAATATAACAATTCTTTAATAGTTTAAAGCGCTCTCGAATAATACTTTTAAACTAGGTACAACAAAATAACTAATATCAGCAATTTTCGTTTAAATATTTCATTTCGTCCAAATTTTAATTTAAAATATCCATATAAAAAATTTTTTTTAGATTTTATTGTTACAGTATAGACTATTCATGAGAAATTTTGTTTTATATTTTCGAACCTAAGCTATAGAAATTGAACAATTTATACATTTTTTACTTCGATATAATTTGAAACTTTTCGTGAAAAAAAATTAACATTATCTATCCACTGTTGGCTAATAAAATGATAAAATAACAGTAGCGACGACGTGAAAGGTTACAATATTATGATTTATGACTCTATGTATTACATCTAAAATGTGGTGATGGTTAGATAACTAATAGAAATGGAGAAAGTGAATTGAATACAATTTATAAAAGATTTAATATTAAATATTATATTATTAAACAAAAATCTCTCAAAAAAATCACCCTATGTCTTAACTTAACTGCACAGATATAACTAATTAGTAATTATATTGTTAATTTTTTTTTATAAATTTTAATTTTGGTATTTAAAATATTTGGTAACATGCTGAGAAAAAATAAAATATATGTACTGGTACTAGGAATCAAACACAACTACACAAGTGTCCCCTTGGCGAAAGCCAGGTATATTCAATACTAACCATAGGATAACAAAACTCAATTTATTTAATTCAATGTTTACTATATATATATTACTACATATACTATATACTATATATATTTACTATATTTTATATATCTCGGGCATGGTCTAGTCTCTAGTGACTCTAGGGTAATATGCCTGTCTGAGATATAAAATATATAGTAAACACTGAGTTAAATAAATTGAGTTTTTCGTTATCCTCGTGTACCTCAAAATCTTCATGTTCTGCTTGGGAACACTACGTGCCATGATATATTTTTTTATTTATTCTTTTGTAAGAATTTCAGAATACATAAGCGTTATACTTGTGTCATTTTCATTAAAAATGGATCTCAGGACTCAGGGTGACTAATATTTCGAATTGAGGAATGATTGTAATTGTTATAACCCAGATCACTCCAGTGCTCCGTTGCTACAGCTATTACACATTATTAAATCTATAGATACCAACAGATAATTCGCAATCGTTAGATTTTTTACAATGATCAAATTTTTTTTTTTCAACGTCTTTTGATTTACTAATAATTAATTTGTTGCATCAATTAAATATGAATAAAACCTGTTTAAATAGTGCCATAAAATGATCTCGTGTTATTAGATAAACATAAAATATTTGGTACGGATAATATTTGTTTATTTGATAAGTTAAAAATGTCATAGTTACAATGAGATTTAGTTGATTACACATTGTATCGATCAATTTATTTATATTTTTATTCTAGTACCTTCCTAATATAACAATTCCACTATAAAACAAGATACCAAAAAATTGAGTTTAATAAATAAGTAGGTACGGAAGGTTGGGGTGAGATTGAAATTGTATTGTAAGTAGGTCCTGAAATCTTAATATTATAACTGCTTTTATTAGATTAGTTTTTTTTTAAGTACAGCTATGTCATATTGGTCTCCTTATATTTTTTTTTTATTTGATGAAATTCTTATATAAATCTAATGTAATCTCCTTGTATTAATATAACATTTTTTATTTTTTTTTACATTTTATTTTTTTTTAGTTTATAATAACATAAAAATACATTATTACTAAATCACGCAAATATTTAGATGTAAAATTTACGAAAAGTCATTGTTTGTGAGCCATGTAAATTATTATCTTCTTATAATTATCAACATATGTTATTACTCTAGTAAATATTGTAAGGTAATACTGTTGAACATATTGAACTATATGAACCAATATCATTAGAAACTAGAGTTAAGTTGGGAAACGGGAAAATCACGGTAAGGACTTCTCTTACCTCGGATGGACCTAAATACCTAAGTAAATTAATGTTAGGTACATTAAAAAATGATAAAGTTTGTAATTTAAGCATTAATAGGTGAGTGATTATATTTTTTTTCTAGCCTTATTTCATTTTTCGTCATTTTTAGAACACTTAACTTTTGTACATTTAAACTTAAAAACATTGAATTATTCAAATTGTAAAAATTTGAACTTTTAAAAAAGTAGTTTGGATTTTGGACCATGGCGATTAGTGGCGGTCAGATGATATGTCCATGAGGGGGAAATGGTTGATTTTTTAATATGCACTATTTAATTATAAAAAATATAATTTATGGTTATCATATCTTAAACATTAAAAAAGGTCATGTGGGGATCTATAGCCTATACCACCTCAACAACCAGCGTTTGGCCGCAACTAATGACCTTGCTCATTCGTATATTCTAATTTGTAACCTTATCTCAAAAACGAATTCAACTGGATTTATCGAAGTTTCATAATATTCACCAGTTCACATGTAGCCTGCAGCAGTAGATTAGTAATTATTGAAAATTGACGAGTACCTATTCTATTTGATTGTAAAAATAAAGTGAAACAGATTATTGCAGATTTTATGATGCCGTCTTCAGAAGTGTATGACACCTTAAAATTGTTGTAATATTTATTAATTGTTAAACAATTAATAAACGGTGGCGGCGATATCAGCGTAATACTCAAGCAGTTCCGGCAGTGTCATCGATGCCACAAAAAAAAAAGATTTTATGATGATAAGATATGGAATATTGGACGATTCAATTTGATTTTCATTCGAATTTAATTTGTTTTAACAATTTTTTAGAGCTCCTCCTAGTCCACAGGTACAAGTCTACACTGGTGCACCTCCCTCTCCACGTAATTCATGTTGTTAAATATTAGATTTAATTGCACTTATGCACAAATGCACTTATTGTTCATAAATAACAGATTGTAAATATAATTTTGTATAAATGAAAATAAATATCTTATCTATTGTCATTGTTCATCGGTAACGTAAATATAATATTCTACTGGGAATTTTTCTGCGAATTTTATTTGTTTGAAGAAAGGTAAATTTAACAATATCATGGCTATAATCATATTAAGTTAATTACTCAATTTTTCAATTAATTAATTAATTTAATGTGATGGTATATTTATATTTACTTTCAAGTACCTTCCTATCATAATGATTCATTATTATTTCATTATAAATAGGTACTTTTTAAAGGAAACTACGTTTTTAAGTGATTGTTAGATTACTTTTGAGTGTTATTTAGCTAATAATTTTTTCAATAAAATATCGTTTGTTATTCATTTATTTTCATTTCACATTTTATTCCAATAAGACGTATAGTATTACAATTTTATTAAACAAAATGATTGTTACAAAACAAAATCTTCGACTCGTAGTAAATATCATTTTAGATTCCTTTTTTAAAATTGTGATTTTAATTTTATTTATGTTTGTAATCGTAGGTCGGAGTATTAGTCATTTATTGCTGTATTGAATCTACTGTAGGTGGATCAATTCGTCATGTGTTCAATAATGAAGAAGAGACGGTAATTAAACTTAAAATACCTATGCCGGGTTGCACGAACAATCACTGTACATTTCACTAATCAATAGAAACTAATTGTCCCTTAAACATAATTTAGTAGACCCTGATTGGTCCATTAAATTTTATTGAACCGTTAAATTAATAAATTGTTCATGCAACCCACAGATACAGATAATATACTAGATTGCTAACTATAGTGATAACAGCTGACGCCAACAAAATTTCCTATCATGTTTGGGCTCTGTATGGTGTTATCATCCGACAAAAATAATTTGTCATTAGACGGACTTGATAAAATACCATAGCCCACAACCTATATGTTGAAAAAGTGGGGTCGCCCGGCCTGCTAGTCGATGTACAGTTAGTTAGCAATCTATCACCATATTGTATGTCATTGAAATCATAGACATATAAAAGAATAAACCAGGAATTATATAAAATATGTGAAGCTAACATGTTCATTGCCCATATAAATCCTTATAAATCTGAGGAATTATCAAAGGCTAATCCGGGGATTTATTAAGGAGATCAAAAACTTAATAGCCATAAGTTGTCCGTCTCACTCGCACTCATGTTGGCTTCAATACAATATTCTACGTAAAACATCTATCATTTTTAGACTATTCAATTTTATGTCTATGATTGAAATAATTTGCTACTAATACTCAATATTTGAAACCGTTGTATTTGTGAGCATTAAATTTAAATATAAATTTTAAAATTTATTCCAAACTAACAATATTTTAGTCTCTTAAAATTCAATATTTTGATTTAACTATGTACATAAAATACCATTTAAATGACTAGGTAGGTATTTACCTATAATATTGTTACCAATCAATTATTTTAAACAAATATTTGTACAATTTAAGTACTTTAATAAATATATGGGTAATAATTATCAACTAACCAGATTAGAATTAGATTTATCATAATAATTAACAAACATCGAAGGTAAAATATACATTTTTAAAAAAATAAAATATAAATGAAGTGAGTTTAGGTATTTAATTCCATGCGCATGTACCAAAATAAAAAGTGAAACGTATTATGAGTTTTATGACAATGATAACAACAAGTGTCAATGACAGTATTTTTTATGCATATGATGATACCTACTTAGGTACAAATGTACATTGTACAATATATAATATATGTAAAATAATAATAATAACATAATATAAATATTAGAATTAATTAATATAAATTGAAAAGTTGCCTTTTAATTTTGTAAGTTTTTTTACTATTTATTAGTTAGTAATATTTTTCTTATTTAATGTCACTGATTTTTATTTTTTATACTGGTCACTAGATGCAGTATCAAATACAATCACTAATCAGTATAATTTATGACACAAAAAATAATTTATCAGTTATTTACCTCTGATAACACATTTTTAGTGCACATTTGCACTTTATGAAATAAGAGAATGGGCAGGTGTCAGACTTCAGTTTAGAATATAATTATAGTGGCCGTAGATAATATAACCTTGAGACGAATGATTTTGAAACTATTGACGTCTGTGTACTTATTTCGGCAACAAGCTACCTACATTATCAAGTAGGTACTCAACGATGGTTCGTAATTTGTATGGAGAAAAAAATATTTTTGCTGTTTTGCAAGAATAATTCCCAGTTACCTAAATACCAACAAACGCTGCAGCGGCATACTTACGCGTTAGCTGTATTGTGTATCGATATCAATTGTACAGGGTGAAATAGAAATCACTAATAAATGTAATAAACTGACTGTGAAATGACTTTTATTTGTATTGAATTGTAATTTTTTTTGTTGAGCACACATCATACAGGCCACAGAGTATGTAACTGAAAGAACTGACAAATAAAAATACAAAATTGATACTAGTTAAATGTGTGGCAAACATTTTGAAAATTATATGGATGATTAATAATTTTTAGGAATATACCTACTTATGTCAGGAAACTTCCAAAAAGAATATTTTGAAAAAAGTTATTACGAATTTATCCAAAAAAAAAAAATCAGTACCTATTAAAAAATAAAAATTAATGTTTAAATATTGATTATGATAAAAATGCATTTATTTTTCAAGTCTTTCTGTTACACCCTGTACATATATATTATATATATTATGGTATTATGGTCATTGTCAATTATACATATAAATGTAATATTTGTAAACAAAAGTAAATATACATCGTTAGGTCATTACATTACACAGCTATTCATGTTACACCGCCGAGTGTATAATATTATATTTTATTATATTTATATGTTAGGTAGGTAGGTATATCGTAACTTGTAGGCATGCTCATACGTATACAACTTGAAACGGAGTAGCAGTGTCTATAATGGGTCGTTGATTTTTTTATAACTCAAATTTTGCTTGTGTTCTTAAAGTAAATTGTGTTTATTTATTTAGTGATACATTAATTTAAATTTTAAAGTATAACAAGTTTATCCACAATCATCATTTAAAACGAAAATTTATCACTTCTGGCCGGTGTTGTCCAAGGTAAACCGTCTACATTTAATTTATACAGTATACCCAGATTGAAAAATGCTCAGAGTTAGTATTCGTGGCACGGTACCGACCTGATTGCGTTTATCTCAAGTTACCTACTTAGCATGTTGGAGATAATTATTTTATGTTAATACATAAATGCTAAATACTCAACAGTATATTGTAAAACTATAGCGCATGTTATAGGTAGTAAAACTGGTTTATAAACAAAAAAGGTTGTAACGGACAAATACTATGTACGATTCACATTTATAACTGTAAGTGATAATAATTCCCGAAAAAAAAAAAATGTATCCATTAGCTATTTACGACGAGCCTAAGACTTTACCTAATTATTATGGCATATATATTGTACCAGTGTACCACTATGTTGTTCACAAAGAAAATGCGTCCCTAACACAGATAAACAATTCACATGGTGGTCCACATTGACTAATGCCAAAACTAATCAAATTTGTTTCACAACAGACTGCTGATACTACAACTTTATCTCCCACTCCCAGTGAGACCAGTGGGACCGACCCTGTAACCGAAACAACAGAAAAGCATCATCATCATTATTCAAAACCACATAGGAAAACGACTCCAACAGGAAGTCCATCGACGACGACATCGGCAGAGGGCTCATCGACCCCGGTGGGCTACATTGACTAACATCTTAGACTAACACTACTGCAAAACATCAATAAAAATGTAAACACTTTTAGACAATACGTATAACTATGAATTTGTATAAATTAAACCCAATTAATTTCACTCAAGTATAAAATAAAACAAGCAATTCCGAACACTTGTATATTTTTTTCATTTACCCATGTCACAATCGACCCATAAAATGGTACATCCTACTTAAAGAACTTTGTATTATTTCCTTGATTCCAAAATAAATCAAAGTTTTTTTTTTAAACTTTAAACACTTGCAGAACAAAATATACTGCGCCCATATTTTATACTAGGAAGCTGTGCAGTTGAGTCCAAAAAAATATGTTTCAAATGCTTAACATAAATATAATATTATGGTTGCATTTTGATACACTATCGGCCGTATATTATTTTACACATTTGTCTTATTATGCTGTTTTTAATCAGATTTTCTTAAAATACTACAGACATTTTTATAATGTAATTTTACATAAGTAAAGAGCACTTACATAGTATAAAATACCAAAATGATCAATATTATTAAGTAATCATACTAATAATTTTACTAATACCAACATACCAATTAATATTTTTAAATGACCACATTAGGTATTTAGAAATCGTTCATAGTTGTTGACATCGGTAAAAACCAATGGAAACAAAATGATAAATTTCAACACTAGAACGTATGTAATACACCCAATATTCAGGATTTTTACTATTTATCTTGTCGGCGGGCTGAATTCATATGCCATATAGGTGACATAGGCGACAGTATTCAATAGAGACTATACTGTATACATTATACAACTGTATACCTATTATAAATGTTCTTATAGGATTAACCCTCTCCTATTAGATTCTGGGCGGAGCGGGGAATGTACCTACCTAGTGTTTTTGCAATTATGTGCAAAAACCTGTTTTTTTTATTTCTATCATCACGTCTCGGAGCATGAAGTTTTCTACAATCTTCAATTTTGGAGATGGATTCTAATTGCTAATTTTATTTTATCAAAAAAATTAAAATCTTGTACTTTTCTTATAATATGGAAAATAATTTAAGTAAAAATAAATAAATAATTTTCTAAGCATTACATAATTAAATAATGTTAAAAATATTTTGATTCTTTTGAACTACTTGTAGATGTTTTAAATTTTTGATTCAGTATACTCATAACAATTTTGATTCTAGTCAAAAATAATATTAAACTTATAGATTGAGTCTTTAATACATTATTGTTTTCTATACACAATGACATTTTCAAAATATTTGGATCAATTTTAAGCTATTATACCATGAAACCTATCCACACTAGATATTGTACGTTTTGTCAGTATTAACTAATAAGCTGCAACTTATATGCGACGTTTTTGGGGAAAATTAGTGAAAGCTACTGAACTGAGAAAGAGTGCTAAAATAATAATCTAAGTTAAACCATCTTTAGAAATAGATGCGGATTCAACAATTTCATTAGCTCAAAACCGTTTTCCGTACACAATGAGGTTTATCATTGAATTACAATTTAACACATCCATAATCACAGTGGATTACTCAATGACTAGATAATAGGTTTTTAAAAGTTATAAATTGAAATTAAACACAACATATATTATATTATAACATTAAATAATTTTGTATTCCTTTATAATGCTACTAGACATATTTTTTATTACACGTCATTGAGACTATTACTTATAACGATAAAGGTGTGTATTCTGTCATGCTATTAACTTGATAATCCCTATGAAAAGTAGACTAATATTTAAAATGTATTAAAAATACAAATCCATCTACATTAACATTGTCTTGGAACAACCGAAATAACATGTATGGTAAGATAAATAGACATCTTACACATTAAATTGTATATACTATAAATATATATATATTATAGACTCATAACAAAGCATTAAGTGTGCGTAAAAAAAAAAAACAATTTTACACTAAATTGTTTTTAAGTAAAATTAAGTTAAAAACTAAAAATAATTAATTATCGCAAAATGTGTTTAACATTGGATGGTCAATAATTGTAATCTTATTATTTATTTGTACAACTAAAGGGTGCCACTCCAAAACTGGGATGCATTCAATTAGTAATTGCAGTTCATCATAATTCACAATATAGTCATAATTATCTGGTAAATAATAAAAGTGATATTATCATCTAAGTGTAATTCTCTGAAACCGTATGCATTCGAACGATGATCTAAATGTACAAACACACTTCATGACACAGTTTATCGGTTTATCGTTTTATAAACGACTACGGCATAAGAAATATAACAATAAAGCGTTTTATAATAATTGATTAAGACATAAGTATTTGCTCAGTAATTAAATGTCCATATTATTCAGTAATTCTATACACATCATATTATGTCAAACAATTTGCATGGAAAACGATTGTCGATTAACCATTTGGTAAAATACTTTTTAACAATGTAACATGTAAGAACTTTTGAAGTTAAAGTTAACATAGAAATGAAAAATATTACGACATTATTCAAAACATTCCGTAGCAATTGTTTAAAGACCTACAAGGACACTATAGACGACACGCACAGTTTTAATCGACCATAATTAATACTATTTATTATTATTACATATAAATATATATATTTGAATGGCACCCTCCAACGAGTATTTTTCAGCAACATGATGAAACATCTCACTAATAACGATTTTAGCAGATCATCTATTATTTGTTCAGTGGTAATAACCATTTTCTGCAAGTTCTTCGTTGTCAATAATTGGTTTTCGGTCATCTTCAGTTTTCACTCGTTTTCTTGACTTGTTTATGGCTCCCCAAGGTGTCTTTCCTGCTTCAGAAGACGAAAGCAATACTGAATAAGAGGTCACGTCATTTTCTTTGCTATGGTGCATTCCGTATAAGAAGTAAATCAATAGACCTATAAATATTAGTTAAAAATGCAAATATTATAAAATATTTAAATGTTAAACAAACTTACAAAGTGGTATTTTCAACTTACCTATAACCATCCATATGAAAAACCGTATCCAAGTAAGCAAATTGAGATTTGTCATCAACACGATATTACATACGATGCTAAGCGATGGTATTAGAGGTACATGGGGTACCATAAATGGTAATTCTGTTGAATTTTGTTCATGGGCTTCAATCAGAAGTTGACCTGAAATAATAATACATAATAGTTGTATCTATATATATATTTGTTGTTGTTATCAGAGCTATTACTCTTATTTATTTTTTTGTCAGTTAAAAAAATGTTTAAATACTAATGGAAATGGATATTTTGATAAATACAAAAATACTAATATGTGAACGAATAAAATTAAAATGGATTTTTAAGAACCCTCGTATGGTTTAATTTATATCTATAAATTATGGTGTGAATGAGCTAATATAAATATTAATAAAAATATATATTATATTTATTCAATATAATATGTACCAGGTACATTGTACCGTACCTAATATACACAATAATGTATTAGTACTACAATATGCATTATTATATAAATTATACTGAACCTATCTTCTTATAGCTATCTATATAATAATATATTGAAATAATTTTATTTATTTTATACGTACATAATATTAAATCGGTGGCCAACGTTGTTAAAACAATACCATCGACCCAACTCACATGTTGAATATTAAACCAGTATTGGATATAAACGCACAAGATGACGGCGGAACTTGTAAACCAACCAATACTTACACAAACTATGTAACCAGGTTCAAATTCTCCAAAAAAGGGTTCTAGAAACTTATAGGATGGTTTTAATCGTCCTCCCATATCCATTTCAAAAGACTGAAACATTTAAATCAATGTTAATTCATAACTATCCTATACATTGAATAAATGAAAATATATTATGCTTACGTCTGCCTGTGAAGTAGGAAGTTCTAAGAGACTACTAGAATCACGTACCAGACCACGGTTGGTAGGACGGTATCTTAATATTATTACTGAAGCACTGACAATAGTGTAAGCCAACAATGTACCGATCGACATAAATTCAACTAATTTTTCCAAATCGAAGAATAAGGCAATCAATGCACATAAAAAGGCAGATATAGCTAAATTTATTAATGGTATCTGTAACATACAAATAGATAAACATTTTTATTTGGCAATATTATTAATGAATCATTTCTTTTAACATATTCGTTACGGTTATAATTTAAAACAATAAACACAATATAATATGTTTTTAAACAAAAAGCGGAAGCTTCCCGTTTTTTCTTTCGCGTTTTTTCTCCATCTTACAAACGTACGTACAACATATCGAAATAGAACCAATTTTTTGTTGATAGTTATTTAGCTTAATTAATAGAGTTAATTGACCTATGATCAGACTTAGGTAGAATATTATCTATCTGTGCTTAAATGTCAGCTTTTTCCAATATTTTAATTTTAAAGCGAGATATGAGCATTTTAATTGTGATATTTCATGTAGACATCTTTTTTTAATTTCAAAGATATTTTAATACACAAACTATTATACCTATACTGCATGTGATGTGCATATATTGCTTACAAATTAAATTGTCGAAAAAAATCTGTCACCTAAATACAGATATTTTTTTACCATTAAGTTTGATGACAGGTAAATTTGATTTAATATTTAAGCTAACAACACATAAATTAGTTCTGCAGAACTGCATGCTGATCTCAAACGTGTACGCTTGTAAATTGGAGACGATTCATGCTTGGATAGCGTCCTCCCAAGTGTGAATTATTTTATTTTTATCAAATTAATATCGATGTTTGTATTTGATTAGATATCAGTTAAACGCTTAGACAATTTATAAATGTGTATAACTAATTGTTTTATTACTAATATAACTTACATATTAGATATGTATATTTATTGTAATAAATTGTATTTTTATAATTTTACTAAGCATACCTGAGTTCTTTTGTTGACCTTGGCTAGGAATTTAAAAACCAGTCCATCATCGGCCATCGCATAAATACATCTAGGTAATGAATAAAGCGATCCAAACAAAGTAGTAGTCATTCCACACAATGCTCCGACTGATACCAAATACTTAATCCAGTTCAAGTCTAATCCAGCAAATGCCGCTGGAAATGCTGCATCGGGAACGATGGACCAGTATGGAACCAAAAATGTCAATGCTCCACTCACCAATA